GATTGTCTATGTTAATACACGGGTCCACAATTCAAATTTGGCACGGTTTAATTCCTGAAAATTGCAGTTCGAAAATTATTTACAGACAATTAAACCAATAGATGTGTCCAGTGACCACTGATAATGGATATTTGATGATATACGAAACCGCTTAGCCTAAGAATCCACTCAATAAAATTAAAAAAATTTTTGAATTTGAAAATTTGATCACTAAAAGTAAGAAATTTTTCTATTTGGCAATAATAATTATTTATTATTATTTAATATTAATTTTATATACTTAATTGAAAAATTTAAATTAGAAATAATTTTCATTCTCTTGTTATAATATCTCCAGCAACTTCAAATTTATTGTTTTATGTTAATATTATATTAAAAACGAAACACATCATAACTATAATGTATGTAAGTTTTTATACATATTTCTCAACCATTTTCAAAAGCACTAAAAAAGTCATATCCCAGCTACAAAATGCTCTATTATAGCACTATAACGCGTTGTAGACAAAGAACATTCTATTTTTTTATTTGTGTGCTGGAGTTGGTTTTAGAAACTTGATAATTTTCCAGTAGTTTTTATTGCTTAGGTCCTCGCAATTGTTACTTGAAAATTTTTATCACGAGCATTTTTATATTTTATTAAATTGAATTATTCTGCTTTTTTTACATAGCATGTGTCTAACGTTTCACATTCTACAAAAATAGTAATTTATTCAAAGAGTTGTTGGATACATTAAAAATTTATAATATATTCATTATATTGTTTTCATAATCATGCGATATATTCTAAGCTGTGACGAACTCCTGACATTCACAGAGAATCGTAGAGATTTTTTACCTTTACATATCCATAAAATAAATTATCAATATGAGGAAGTATGGGAATATAATGAGATGTATATTATTTGTATTTAATTTTAAATATAATTAATTATTTATTTATACAAATATATAAATATATATTTATATCTCATAGGCCACAGTAAATTTGTGGTCTGAATAGTTACACAAGTATTATTTTTTTGTGCCCGCTTTTCTTTAATATTTCAAAATAGTTTTCTTTCCCTATACTTCTATGAGATATAATCAGATTCTTCTATCACCATCTCTATAACCGACCAGGATTGTAAAGTCGGTTACATAGTCTACAACTAATCTACCCCCGCACTTGCGCAATAAGTCCAGATTTCTAAGTGCTAAACGTCTTCATCTTAATTCTCTTCTACAATTACAGGAATAAAGTTTCTTCCACTATTCTCTGGGTTAAAGAAGATTTTAGTGAGTTTAAGTGATTATTTATTTCTCGAAATTATGGTACAATATGTGAAAACTATCTACAAATTTTGTTTTAATATAATTTTCGATTCTGGTGTTTCAAAATATAAAAGAAAAAATTAGTAGCATGAAGGAGTGTTGAAATGTAGGACATTCTTATGTGTGTAAATCACAAAAGTGTTCTTTTGAATATGAACTATAACTAAAAAATAAATAAAAAAACATTATGGTATTTACTTAAACATACAAATAAAATAAGACCGTGGTTGCTTAACGAACCAATATTTGAGCTTAAGTGGACTTTGGCTACAAGGCCACCTATCCAACCTAACCTAATTTAACTCAAGAGAAAACATAAATCTAAATTTAATAATCAGAATTTCTTATTTATTATTGTAAATCAAAAATTAACGTTTGTTACTATTGCTGACTGTAGTATATTTTTAAAGTTTTTTTAAAATCCATCTTTGCTATTCCGACCAACCCCACAATTCTTCATAAAACGAATAATTCCACAAACGGCAAAAATAAAAAAGAGCAATGATTTTTCTATTCTACTTAAATAATAATTCAGTACGAAAATAACGATGTGATAAAATATGGGAAAAGGGGTGCGACCCAGTAATACTTTGTCTTATTTAGAACTGCTCATCCCAAACATAGCGTTCCAGAAGCAATTGCCGGAAGATTACAACCAGAAGTGTTGGTGCGGCACATACCGAGGGCTAATTGAGTGTGTACGCTCAATCAAAATATGTTTTGACAACTCGAGCATCATAAAAAATAGTCTCAGCATTTATTTTTTTGTAGATTTGTGGAAAGAGTATTTCATACACCTAAAGAGCTTGTAAAGATGTCCTTATTAAATAAGGATTCATATACTACCATTTGTGTGTTTATATGTAAGGAGGACCGCGTGCCAGGGGGCACAAGTGGTAACATTTTATTACTTAATAATAAAGAGAAAGAAAAGGGCTTATCAGTCTGCAGTCGAAACAGGAATAGCGACAATAGCGTAACTTGAACTCTCTCGGGACTCAGCTAGGACGATTTGTTCAGTGTATTGGGATTTGGTGTGGATTTGACTTTACTGCACCACACCCGCTTCCGCACTTGTAGTGGTGTTCAAGTTGTTTATCGAGCATGTAGCAATTTAAAAACAATGTTACAACTATTAATTTTTAAACAAAGTGAAAAATACTGATAAAAAATCGTAATCGTGAAACTGCAGTAAGAGAACGAGGACGAGGATGAATACGAGTATAAGCGCAATGTGAGGTGTGAATGAGGGTTGTCGTTGGCATTGTCCTTACAGCACATAACATACGGCATTTAGTATCGGTGATCCTTGTAGCATGTGGCAAATATTTCAAATGAGTTTGTTGAGATTACGGCAGATTACGGAATGAATTTACAGGTTCATAAGATAATTAATCATGTGGGATTATAAGTGGAAACAAGCGAAAGTAAACAAACGAAATTAATTTTATTATCAGTAAGGTTATCAAGTTATTATGTGATAAGTCTGACGTTGTAGGATAATTGTTTTGATTTTAATTTAAGTTATTCTACATAGTGTAAAATCTGTTCGATTAGGGTATTATGTCATAATATTATTATTAAGGGATGAATGGACTATATTTAAGATAATTATTATTAATAATAAATATTTCTTGGATAAATTTCCATTTAAAAAGAAAGTTGTTTTATTATTATATAATTTTTAAGAGTTTTAAGATTATTTTTAGCTGCGAGAAATATTTACATCTACAGAGTTATAAATTTACAGGAAACCTATATTAAAATTCACCATTCCCGGAACCCCTCAGATCGTCTATCTGTCTCAAGATCGATCTTTGCCAAACTGAACAAGAAACGTACCAGTCAGCTGCTTCTACTAAAGATTTAAAATATTTGTGGTACCTTTTTATCAACTTAACATAGCTGTCATTCTGCAAAATTAGGGACTTGGCCAAATATATAGACTCATCCTATTGGTTTACTTTCAGTTGAATCGGAGAGTTGAGCCATTCGGCATTGCCTGCACGGCGAACAACATTAATTCATAGTATCACAACGGGTCATTATTTCAACTCAAGTTGGTTTTGGACTCAAGGGCACCATTCCAATCTGACCTGTATTGCATAGCTTTTCTATCTTTTTTTAGTGTTACAGCACTTGAAATGTTGGAACTTCAGCAGAGATATTTTCCTTAGTTAAAATACATTCTCTTTCGTATATAATTGTGCGATATACTTGGAACAACAATAACCAATAACAATTGAGATCTTAACTTCTGAAAGTTGCTTCAAATTAGATTGTGGTGATCAAGGTATGAGGCCGGGGTTCAACTTTCATTAGCTTTGAAAAATTATGTGGAATATTGGATGACACTGGTTAATAAAATTTAAAGTATATTTAAATTTAAATATTTAAATTATATTTAACTTATTTTAAATTACTACCCTCTATCCAAGCGCTGCTTTTGTTTTATTCTACCCAAACCCTAGACATCTTGATTTCTTCAATGGTTTTTAGCTTAGATGAGTTTAGCTTGTTAAATATTAATCCAACTCAGTTCTTCTTTCATATCTTTGATTAGATCAGGTCAAGTTCGGGTGGTGGTCTAGCACACCAAAGCCGACTTGAGCGCAAATAATGGTGATATCACCAATAAAGCAGGTATAATGTTGGCTGTTTATGTTAACATACGGGTCCGCTATTCAAATTTAACACCATTAAACCAATAGATTTTTCCAAAGAACACTAATGATGGATATTTGATAATATACGAAACAGCTTAGGCTGACTATAACCTAAGAATTCATTCCATATTCATTCATTCAAAAAACTTTTGAATTTAAAAATTTGATCACTAAAAGAGAATATTTTTTCTATTTGACAATAATACTTTTTCATTATTTATTATTATATTTAATTTATAAATTTAAATTGGAAACAATATTTTCATTCTTTAACTATATCATCTCAGGCACCTAATTTTATTATTTTATATTAATATTATATTAAATACGAAATACAACATTAACTTACTTTCCGTTAGACACCAACTTTCAAAAGCACTGAAAAAATTATATTCCAGCTACAAAATGCTTTATGATAGCACTATAACGAGTTGTAGAGAAAGAACATTCTTTTTTTTTAGTTCTGTGCTTATAACAACCATAGCGATCGACATAGAAACCTTGTTTTTAAGAATAGGCACTACTCCCCATTTAACCTAAAGTGCACCAACCTGACAAGTAAGTAAACTTGACTATGTCGCTAAATTTAAAGAATGTCGGTATGAAAAGATGCCTAAGATGATTCTCAGCACCGATACCATTGTGCTGAGCAGCTTCCGTTTGATTGGTGCAGTAGAATTGTTCTTCTGTAATTAGGTGGCAAGCCTTCTCGGGGATTGCCACCTTGACGTGGTGAGAAGGCTCAGTAGTTACGATGAATCTTCGAGCGATGCTGGCGGTAGCTTGCTACTGGTAGGGCCTCCCTTGCCGGTAAGGTCGAATGAGGAGTAATGAAGCTAAGCGCATTCCACAACGTAGCGTCGGTACTTATATTGAGCGGCTGCAAAAGGCGTCTGTTCTCCAGGTCAGGTGCGGCCTATTTAAAAGTGACCTGTCACTACGTGCAAAGCTTACAGGACTGACATTGCGCTTGTAACCCATCGTCAGGGCTTTGCTCCCTTTTACTTTTCTGGATAAAACATGAGTCAAAATCCGATGATAATACAGTCTCCAAGTGGTACCCGTACTGATACGGCGAATCCATCTGCTTCGGCAGCACGCACGGATTTAGAGGTGCGAAACTCACGTTCAAACAGAATCAATACGATAGGTACAACTGTAACCACAACAACTTTAAACAACCAACCACGAAACAACCAAAACTTTCTCTCAATGAAATCAAAATCCATGATCGGCGTCTGGAATGTTCGATCCCTAATCGGACCAGGTAAACTTGAGCAACTATCCCGGGAACTCTTTAAATTCAAGCTTGACATGATCGGCATCAGCGAGTGCAGATGGAAAGACTCCGGGGAAATCAACTTATCTAATGGAACTAAGTTTCTGTACTCTGGCAGAAGTGATACCCATCATAATGGTGTCGGTTTTCTCCTCAGCAAAACTGCGGTTCGTGCCCTCTTACAATGGCAGCCAATCAACGACCGCTTCATTTGGTGCCGATTTCGCTCCCGTGCACGAAACGTGACTATAATACAAACCTACGCTCCCACTGAAGTCGCCGATTCCGATGAAAAACTGGCCTATTATAATCAGCTTTCGTCTATTATTCATAATGCTCATAAACGAGATATTCTAATTGTAATGGGTGACTTAAACGCCAAAATTGGTGCGGACAACACAAACATAGAGCACATAATGGGAAAACATGGTCTGGGGACCAGAAACGAAAATGGTGAACTCCTAATTGAAGCGTGCAATGACGCCAACCTTGTTATCGGGGGCTCCATTTTCCCTCACAAAGCCTGCCATAAGTCAACATGGGTGTCACCCGACGGTCAAACCGAAAATCAGATTGACCACATCTGTATAGGAAAAATGTGGAGAAGCAGCCTCTTGGACGTACGCACCAAGAGAACCGCCGACATCGGATCGGATCATCATCTTCTAGTCGCGACACTTCGTTTAAAAATCTGCACCGCTGGACAACGACGTACTTTGAACTCACTGCCTAAACTCGATATTTCGAAACTAAATTCTGAAGACGTAAAAAACACCTTCGTCAGCAAACTTAGTACCTCAATTGAACAGCTCCAAAGTCCAGAAGTGTCCGGTAACACTGAACAAATTTGGCAGACAATTAAATCAGCATTTCTTACAAACGCAGAAGATGTCTTGGGTCTTCGACCCCGCAACAGAAAGCCGTGGATGTCAGAGTCTACCTGGTCTCTCATCGAATGCCGCAGAGCTGCAAAGATCACACGCGACAATGCTAAAACAAGAGCGCTCAAAGCAGAAACCCAATTCTCCTACAATGAGATGGTGAAACGAGTGAAGCTTTCATGCAAGCGAGACAAACGTTTATGGTATGACAATCTTGCAAGTAAAGCTGAAGCAGCAGCCGAACAGAGAAATATGAAAATTTTATATGACGTCACAAAAGAGCTTGCAGGCAGAAGGTTCCGCCGTATAGGCCCTATACGGGACAAAAATGGCCGACTTCTCATTTCCACCGAAAACCAGCTTCAACGTTTCAGGGAACATTTTTCAGAAACTCTATGTAACAATACTACCACTATCACCCACACCGTCACACCGGCTGAACAAAACAGCTTCTCCAGCCTAAACAGTCGCAGTACATCTGTTATGAATAGAGTACCTGATGAAGAAAAAATTGTTCAAGCTATAGGCAGTTTAAAGAATAATAAGGCAGCTGGTTCAGATAATATCACAGCGGAACTGTTAAAAGCTTGTCCTTCGACTACCGCTAAAATGTTTCAACCTCTCCTGAAAAACATATAGGAAAACAATTGTCTTCCAAACTATTGGCTGGAAGGCTTGCTGACCGTATTACCTATGAAAGGTGACCTGAGCCAATGCCGAAATTACAGAGACATTATGTTGCAGTCGATTCCTTCGAAAATATTAACTCGTATTCTTCTGTCCCGCATCAACACTAAACTCGAAGACAGTATTCGTAGACAGCAGGCAGGCTTTAGACCAAATCGTTCGTGCGTGGACCAGATTAACACTCTTAGGATCATCGTCGAACAATCTACTGAATGGCGAACAGCCATAAACATATTATTTATCGACTACAGCTGCGCTTTCGACAGTGTCAATAGAGGCTGCATTTGGAACTCTCTCTTACAAAGGAGTATTTCCGGGAAAGTTGTCGAACTCATCAAAGCACAATATAACGACTTCAGGTGCAGAATCTTCCTTAATGGGCAACCGTCAACCCCCTTTGCCACTACTTCAGGTGTTCGACAAGGCTGTTTAATGTCGCCTATTTTGTTTTTAATTGTGTTAGACGATGTCCTTACTAAAGCTATTGACCAGTCACAACGAGGTATACGATGGGGGCTTTCAAACCACCTCGAGGATCTAGAATATGCTGACGAGATTTGCCTTCTATCAACTCGGCAGAACGATATGCAGATAAAATCAACGACTTATTTCACGAATCACGTAAAGTTGGTCTTATAGTGAACACGGTAAAGACAAAGGCAATGAAGATAAATAATTCAGACTCTACCAGTAAATTTAACCTGGACGATACAGAAATCGATAACGTCAACAGCTTCACATACTTAGGCAGTATAATATCGCCGGACGGTGGCGCGGCAATCGACATCCAAAGCCGAATCAATAAGGCATGCTCCGCCTTTTCGTTATTGAATAAAGTTTGGAGCTCTTCAATACTCTCCCAGCACACCAAGCTGCGGTTATTTAACAGTAATGTTAAGAGCGTTCTGCTCTACGGCTGCGAAACCTGGCTTACCACCAACAACCTGATTTATAAACTGCAAACTTTTATAAACAAATGCCTTAGGAGAATTCTGAAAATTTGGTGGCCCCGCACTATTAGAAATTCCGAACTATGGTCAAGATGCCGCCAACTTCCTATAGCAAACGAAATCAAATAGCGTAAATGGCAATGGATCGGGCACACTTTGAGGAAGGCACCAAATGAAATCTGCAAACAAGCATTAACATGGAATCCTCAAGGAAGCAGAAGACCTGGTAGGCTCAAGCAAACGTGGAAGCGAACACTGGAGAAAGAAATCCAAGCAAGCGGAAAAACCTTTGGTGAAATTAAAACCCTGGCAAAAAATCGTGACAGTTGGAAAAAGTTCGTTATGGCCCAATGTTCCCCTGGGAACGTACTGGATTGATTGAATTAGATGCTATCTGTAAAACCTTTAATCTGCTCATTCAACTAATCATTTATTATTCTGTCTTTTAGTGCTCTGTTTCATGATTTAACTATGTTTCTAATTTTGAAGGATGACAGCGCTATCAGTCTGCGAGGAAAAAGATCCTAAAAAATAATAAATCTTCTACTGACTTCAATTCTTGTTGCATGTTTTCCTAATACATAGTGACTTGTAAGCACCGATACCGTTGTATTAAATATGTTTTGTTAGATTACTGGAATGGGACTTCATTCATCGGTTTACTACACATGTATATGGATCTTTATCTCTAATAACCTAATAATTATAACTGATACCGTTATAGTAAAAATGTTTCGTTTGATTACTGGAATGGGACTTCATTCATCGGTCTACTACACATGTATATGGATCTTTATCTCTAATAACCTAATAATAACCTTATACTAAATAGATTTCGTTTGATTACTGGAACGGGAGTTCATCCATCGGTATCGTATCAATCTCTAATAACCTAATAAATATAATAACTGATACCGTTATGCTGCGCAGGTTTAATTTGATTACTGTAATGGAATTTCATCCATCGGTCTCCTACACATTTATTTGGATCTCTATCTCTCTATAAGCTAATAATTATAATAAGTGATACCGTTATGCTGAGTACGTTTAGTTTTATTACTGGAATAAGATTTCAACCATCGTTGAAGTTCTATCTTCAACACATTTCCTACACATTTATTTGAATCTCTATCTCTTAATAACTGAACCTATATTGAACTGACTTTTTGTTATATACAGTATATATATATATTAAGTTATATATGTTATATATATATTAAGAGTATATATTAAGAGTATATATTAGGAGTTTTACTCCTCTTTTCTTTCCGTATCTTCAAATACATCCTATTCATCCTATATTCTAATTTGAGTTAAAAAATCACAACTTTTATATTTCAAACATATCGATATCATATCTCAGCAATGACTTCGTCAGACTATATTAAAAGAATTTAACAAGTCCGTAAAATGGCTTGGCATATAAAAATTTTGAAATGAAATTGAATTGAAATTATTATCAATTAGTTGGTCGATTCTAATTTATTTATTTTTATTGCAGCAATCGAACCTAATGACGAGATGAAACAGTTGCTTGTGCATATGTAGGCGAGAGTGTATATATAGATACGAATGCATTTCATGAGAAAATTTTAGCTGAAAGATTTCTTTGAATATTGAATATTGGTTTTTGTTTTAACATCTTTTTTTTCGACTTGATAAATGGGCGAACATCTAGGCAAGCCATCGATGAAGTAAAGAAACTTCATAAATGAAGTAAAAAATACGCTACGCTCGGTTTATGGCTGGGATGGCTCAACAATATCAACATTTATTGTATCTGATGCTGATACTGATACTGATGCTGATGTGAGAGATGATGATGCGTAGAAAAATTTAACGACTCAATATGAAATCTAGACTTTATTGAATGAGAGTTGCGGTACAGAAAAAAGGATTTTAATTTTTATTTGACTTGTTTTCATAATTTTTTTCCTAATAGTGAATTAGCACCTTTGTGCTCATTTGAGGCGTTTTATTGCATCTCACATATTTGCTTCATGTGGTTAATTTTTGTTTGTTTTGTATTTTCAGATACTCAATCTTCACTTGATTCGAATTTCATACTCGCATTTCAATACAAATGATTTCTTGTTCCTAAACTTTAGCGTTCCCTCAACAATTTATGGGTTTTATGATGTACGAAATATGCTCAATGGATATAAAGTGATTATGGCTTAGTTACCAAGCAGCAATAGCCTCAACAGCAGCACCAGCAAATCGTTGGTATTTATTTTTTATTATTTTTAGCTAATAAACTTTGAGGTGTTGCCGCATAGTGGAATCAAATGGGCTTTATAACAACATTAGCTATTGTTTAGATTTATGACAGCGCGAAGCTTTCGAAATATCACATCTTAACTATTTCCCGTGGTACCATCAGTCATGTCATCATTTGAGTAAAAGCAATTTCTGAGTAATATTATAATAACCTAATTTCTTAAAAAAATAAAATTTTAATTATATTCTAAAGTGATTCATTAGCCTTTCATTAAATTCAACCATTAACAATTCAACTAAAAAATAGTAATCATTAATAATACAGCATCTCTGGTAAAATATTTAAAGTTGATATTCAATCAACTTACAATGGAATAGAATGGAACTTACAACGTTTCTATATCCTGCAGATCAATATAAATTGGAGAACTTAACTCGAAACTTAATCAAAGTGGTTGACATGACATAATTATATGACTTTTATTACAAATAAATACAAAAATCTTGTTCTAGTGCAAACCTAGAGCGTTATTAGATATTAATTTCGGGCGGTAAAGGGTGATCTTATAGGCCGAAAACTGAATACTATAGTTCTAAAGTAGAAGTAGTCTTCTAGATTTTTTAATTAATTTAATTCAAAACCTAATCTAAATAATTAAATGACATAATTTGCAGACTATATCCCTGTATTTAATGGTCTGACCGAAAGAAGACCTTAAAATATTTCTTATGTTTATGTAGTGTGTTATCATAAATATGCTTGAAATGCTTGGCGGTTCCACAAATTAAAAAATTAAAGAACGTGTCACAAATGCAGTTTCAAAAAATCTTAAATTCTCAAAAAACGTCGACAAGCTACAGATGTCTATTATAAATCTACATAGAGTTCTTGATACAACCATCACAGATCCTCAATCTGATATTCATTTTTGGGATAGAGGGTGATTTAACGGTTGAAAACTAAATAATTATATATGTAATCTCTAAGATATGTTTTCAATAAAAAATCGAAAACATCATTCGGGTCAATAGATTACTATTGGATATTATCCAAGTGAACCGAAATTATGAAACACGCCACAGGCTATGACGATACGCCAGCGTAAAAGGTATTGCAAGTGTATTTGGAGAAAGATGGTGTAGAAAAAGACCGTCTCTTCGGTGGAGTGATTAAGTTAAGAGTGCTCTAACCGTGGTTGATGTACGAGACTGAAGATGATGAAGACGCAATAGAGGCGCCTGGAGAAGAGTGTTGACACAGGATGAAACCCATCCATAATTGTTATGCCCAATTAAGTTAGTAATTTAGTTGGCAGTTATGCTAATCAGTTAATCAAGCTTGTAAGTCACATTAGATACGGTTCCAAATATCTAAATCCATGAATGCATGTATCAATCCTAGTAAGATATCCCTGATTTCGTAATTACAAGATCTCATAACTGGCTACACATTTAAGCTTCAGAGTGGCCTTAAGTACCAATATTAATACTATAGTAATATAGTAAATGTGGCGTTAGATTGAAGTGGAGGCGTTATGGCCAAAGCTCACCTGAGCTTAAATAATGACCACTTGTGATACTACGAATTACTGTTGTTTATAGATAGTCTAGAGGATCAGCCTACGAAAAACCCTATCGTCCTGCAAAATTTAGAACTTGGCCAAGTTTTTAGACTAGTCAAGTTGGTTCACTTTACTCTTGAATGGCGAATTCATGTCCTTCAACGTTGTTCATATGCAGACTGTCCTTTAACGTCCTTCATATGCAGACTAGAAGGTTAGC